ACTTTTAGCACCTTAAGAATAAGGTTAGGTGTGATTGATCTTAATGCTTGGATAAAATTTTCTGCAAACTTGATTTATTCTTTATGTGTTTTATTTAGTTTTTCTATTTCTGTTTGTTATTATTTTTGTTTGTTAATGTTTTTTATATTTGTTTTTATTTTGTAAGTTTTTAGTTTGGAGATTTAACACTTATTGAAGGATGATGGTTTTTGAAATTTTTTTTAGTTTTCATGCTTTATTTTCTAAGTATTTTATTCATATTGTACGAATTTGTTTTCTTAATGTACGAATTATATAGCAATTTTATGTCTATTTTTGGAGTAGAACACACAAAATTTGGATTTTTCACATACTTAATATTGTATGATGATGTCATCATACTGTACGATATGTACATATTTGTCTGTATGCATGTGGATGGTTTTTCGGTTAGAATCAGTTATTATAACTGATTGTGCGTACGAAATCGCCTTTCATCTGTACGATCATGTTGTCAGTTTCTATGGGGGACAAACCTAACCGTCATTAAAACTATCTTAAATAATTGATCGTCCCATATGAATACATGTTCGTATGTACGAATGAATAGTCAAAAAGCATATACAAAAGGACCCCTCCTAAATAGTGTATTTACAAAAAGTCATTTCATTTTGGATGTTTTGTTTTGTACGTATGAAAATATTTTCATCTCGTATGATCTCAAGATCGTATGTATGGACCCAATTTTGTACTGTATGATAGGGTACTTTTTTTATATAGAAGGGTTATTGAAATCATTTTCATTCACTTTCAAACCCTTCTCATAACCTTCTAGAGCCTCTGATCTAGGAATGGTAAGCTCCAACAAATGCTCTTGAGTTTCTAAGAGATTGCCATCTAGGGGTTGGGATGACAACTTTTTGTCTAGGGATAATGAGGATGTGTTCTATCGGTATATAGCCTCAAAAATTTCTACTTTAGACTCCTCATCCAAGATAAAATCTATTTTTTTTATCATGCCACTCTTTGCTTCAACTCAGTTCTCTTTTATTCTGACCTTGATCTACGCCTACCATATAGAGATCTTTTAGTATTTCTTAGCAAACATGAGGTTCAGTGAGGATGAAATTAGGATAACCTCTTTTATCAAAAAATTGCATGACAAAATCACAAAGGAAGATTTAGGAACTTTTCTTCATTTAAGGACTCATGGCACTAGAGCTCACACCTTGACCTCTAAATCTGATTATTGCTGGTCTGAGATATATAAAACTCTTAGAGGTGCAACTCAATTTTTTCACTTAACGAGAGTCTACACATTGAACAAAAATGTCTAAATCATCCAGCATGTCTTAAGAACTTCAATCATTTATAAGGCTTGTGATCATATAAATATGACTCCTCTCATGTCCACCATCACATATTTGATCATGACCGAACAACCTTTTAATGAGACCCAAATCATCATGGATTACATTAATAATCTTTCTGAAAATGAGCTTCATCATCATAAGAAAAAGAAAAATATTACTCTAGGATACTTAGTGACATACATTTTAGACAAGAAGTATTATATTATTCATCCTGATTCTCCCACTGAAATGCCAATCTTTTTTATCGATGCTTCTTTTCAATCTTTGTTTGGGAGAGACTAGAGTCCTAGTGGAGATTTTGAAGAAGAAGTGGGAGCTATTACACCTGCACCTGGACCTGATCAGCACTACTTTCAGGACTTGGTCCAGCATTTTAATAGTATAGAAACTCACTTTGATCAACATTTTGATCAAATTAAGACATGTTTAAATCAGAAGGATGCAAGGTACCATGAGGACATGGGGTGGATTCGTGGTTAGTTTGATACGGTTAATATAAATATAGCTATGATGAATGACTATTTTTCAGTGTTCAACCAGCCACCTCCTCCAGACCAGGGCCCCTCTAACTTTTAGATGTACTTCTTTATCGTTGCTTTTGCTAGTCATTTACCTATGATGTGATGTGATGTGATGATGTCTTTTTATTTCTCTTTTATGATACTTATTTAGGGTTGAGATATTTATATTTAGATATTATGTTATTTTGATATTGGTATCAATGGTCTGAATGTATCTAATATATTTTTTTGATATCATTAAAAAATGTCATATTTTGTGAATTAATTTTTGGTCCTTATTTTGAAATGTAAGTATGTCTATACAAAAAGCATTTTAGAATTGATCTAAAAATATGATATAAATTAACTCATATTATAAAATTAATTTTATTACAAAAACTAATTTTTCAAAATTTTAAATTAAATTATAACTGAATTAAGTTAAGGAGATCAATTTCTTGTTCTTTTAGATAAACTTAATTTGAATATCATTATTATAATATTGATGTCTTATTATTTTTCATTTCTTATTAATATGATTATTTTTGTTATTAGAAAAGTTTATTTTTAGATTACTGATTTTAGAAAGACTCAAAAAGTATAACAAAAAGAAATGCACAATGTGTGCAAAAAACAAAAGTTTACGCAATAGTTCATAAAGTGAAAAGAGACATAAAATTAGCCCAAATAGAAAAAGATACATAAAGTGTGCCACACATATTTGAAAAAGATGCGTAATGTTGCCAATAGAAATTTGTCTTTATTGTGTTCTTTCCCCTATCAATTAATCTCTAATTCAAATGAATCTAATTTTCAATTAAACACTATATTGAAATTAATGTTAACTAATCTTCATTTCATCATTGTGCAATAATCATTTTTATTTATTTTGTCTAGAATGAATCATGATCTTGATTAACTTTTCTCATCTTAGTTCTTTGATTTAAAATTTTGAATATTTCTTTTTAGTCTTATAAAATTAATAGTGTTATTGCAATTAATTTTAAAATAAATTTTAAGATCAATTATTTTATTTCACGTTTGACATCTTTCATTTCAAATTTCTACTTCCCTTTTTGTTGTTGTCAAAAGGGGGAGAAAAATATTATTTGTGTTTGTGTTTTGTGTCGTGTTTTGTGTCTTTCGTTTAGTAGTTGTTTATGTCTATCTTTGTTCATGTCTTTCGTTATTTTTAGATTTTTTTAAGTGTTTCTTCTCTTCATGGAATATACCTATATTCAAATGTTTATTCATTTAGGGGGAGCTAAGGGGAAATTTAGGGTATAAATGCTAACTCAAAGAATAATTATTTTGCCATCATCAAAAAGTAGGAGATTGTTGAGATTGTTGCAACTTAGTTTTTCGATTGTGAGATTATTGCAACATGTATGTTTTTGATGATTCAAAATATTACTATTTTAATTACTGTTTCTCCTAACATATATTGGATATATATTGCTTTTTTTGCTTGTGTGTACTAACATTTCAGAAAAAATCACACTCCAGATTATTAAAGACTTCAAAGAAGAATATATTAAGGTTTATTATAAATGGAGTTTGTAAATTTTCACTTTTATTCAGTTTGAGAGAGTGTGATTGTAATTGAGTAACCGTGCACACAGACATACTTGGGAGAGTGTTTAAAATATGTAAATTTTTAAACTAATCGTACTATACGATTTTAATTGGTATGTGACGATTTGTTCAGTTATTTTCTCATACAAGCAGTTAAACGAACTGTGGGAAGAAAATTTTTCTAAGTATTGTTCGTACTGTACCAAGTGACCTTCGTACATACGATGTCTAGAGTACGAAATATATACGTCCCTATTCGTCTTGATGATTTACAATTTTTTTTTTGAAATGATCGTATTGTACAAAGTGACCTTCATACAGACGGCGTCTAGGGTACGAAAAAAATGGGTTCCTTTTCATCCCGATGAATTCCAAATTTTCTTTTAACTAATCGTACTATACGAAGTGAACTTCGTTTAGATGACGTACAGAGTACGAAAAGAATGAGTTCCTTTTCGTCCCGACGAAACATAAATTTTTTTCTGAACTGATCGTACTGTACGATACATGGTTCGTATATAAGCGTCCAGAACAAGAAAATGTGGGGTATCTTTTCTTCCCGACGAAGCAGAAAAAATTTTCAACCGTTTGTACAGTACGAACATGATTTATACTAGACGATTATCGTGTACGAAAATATTTTGTACATGTATATACGTAGCAATTTTTGAACTGTTCGTACGTACGATTGACGTTAGTACTGTACGTTTGTATACGCTTAAAATTATAAATTTCAGTTTTCTGGATAGTTTTTTGTGTTTTTCATATAAAAAGTCATTAGAATCTGACTTGAAAAAAGTTGTTCTTTGTGATTTCTTTGAAAGCAAGTAAAAGAGTATTTTGGGAGAGTGTTTTAGATAGAGTTCTTGCAAGTGAAGTGTGAATGGCACATGGTTACTTAAATGTAAGAATCTCTTTTGTATTTTGGTTACTTCTCTTTCTTTCTGATTTCTAGTTGCTCGAGAGAAGATATTTGAAGAAGATCCGTTACTCTGCCGACACTTGTAGGGTGTGAAAGGACGACAGTACTTTGCCGCACCGGGGATTGGTGGAAGAGAGAAAAATTGTAAAGATTTCTCCGCCTTGCTGTGAAGGCAAAATGAGAGTCACTTTGGTAATAGTACAATACATGAAAATGAAGTCTTTAGGGAGTGGACGTAGGTCTTGTTGGACTGAACCACCGCAAATCCTTGTGTTCATTTTTATTTATGCACTTTTTATTTTTCAGCTTTTTTGTTTTGTGGTTGAAAAATTATTTTTACAAACTATATAAAAATTGATTTTCTTTAATATCCAAGAGAATTTTTTAAAATTACCAATTCACTTCCCTCTTGATTAGCCTTAGGACATTGCATAAGTTTAAGAACTATCCTAACTTTATATTATTAACTTGATTAGAAAGGTTTGTGATAAAATTTCTATCACATTGGTCCATTTGTAGTTTTTTTTTTCTTTTGCTTTTTGCTGATGCATATCTTAAAAAAAAAAAATCACAGCTGGCGAAACCAACGCCGTCCAATCTTCCGTCACTCTCTGCGGTGCGACCCGTATCTACCGCGACGTCGCAGTCGTGCTATGACGCAACCCCGGTTCCGGAAACCGCCATCTGCAAAGAACTAGGAGAAAGAAAGGCGAAGAAGAAGAGTTAGGCTTGGACTGGAGTCGGATCTCTTAGGCGAGGGCGAAATAGATCGCATTGGATAGCATCCCACTGTGGAGAAAGGAACAAGAAGAACGTTTGAAACGACAGAAAGGATTGGTGCTCGTAATTAGTCATGATACATAGATGGCGAAAGAGGGAGAACTGAAGGAGGAAATGTTTGAATATTGAAAGGGTTTTAACAGATCTCGACGTCGGCGGCGTCGATGGCGTCAGATCACGCATCGGAGAACGGCGTGGATGGTGACGACGAGAGGGAGGAGGATGATGATGAGGAGGAGGTAGAGGAGGAGGCGGTGGAGGAAGAGGAGGAGCCGCGGCTTAAGTACCAGAGGATGGGCGGGAGCTTGTCATCCCTTCTTTCAACCGATGCAGCGGCGTCTATTGCCATCGCTGAGCGGATGATCGCCCTCGGAACACATGATGGTACCGTCCATATACTTGACTTCCAGGGAAATCAGGTATAATCTTCCGTCTTGTTTCTGTTGTTCTTTTCATTTTTTTGGTGATTTGTAGCCGGGAATTTGGAGAGAGCGACATTTGGCTTTCGGGTCTTTGACTGGGTTGCTGATTGGAGTTCATTCGATCCATTCTGTCCATGGGAGTACGAAATACGGAAGTAGAGGCTGACTTTGACTTTGAGTTTGCCAAATTTGGTTCTTAAGGGAAGCTTCTGTTTCAATTCTCTTAACTAGCGTTGCTAGAAAGCATTTGGAATTTAAGATCACCAGTTCTGTCTCATTTCTGGGATGCTAACCTGGGCACTTCATCCTTAGGCTCAGCTTGCTCTGCTTATGATCTGAATTAGGGTTTACCATACTTAAAATTATACTATCGGATGGTGTATGCTCTTGTTGAATACTCTTGAAATTGGAAGATTCTGCTAGTATGAGTTCAGTTGTTGTACTATTGTAGATTGTAGGATCCATTTAAATGCCACGGCTGGTGATGTAAGCAAGCCATACCTCTCCTCCCCCTTGCTTTGGGTTGTTCGGTTCCTTCTGCTGGGCTATTCGGTTTCTGCGTTCCCGTTTCCCCTTGTTGCCTGTTCGGGTTCATCTACCCTTTAGCCTCTTCGTTTCCTCTGCCTACCCGATTCTTTCCCCCTGGCACTATATGTTCGTTGGCTGTCCCGTGAGCCTCTTCGTGTGTTGCCTAGCCGGTGGACTTTTGATCTTTTTGCCTCCCCTTTTCTATTGGCTTGTATGGGTGGCTGTTTGGTTGTTTTGTTCCCTTTCTTCCCTTATATATTAGGGTTGTTTGTGGCTGTTTTATGAATGGATTATGGATAATTTTTGGATCTAAAAACCTGAGGGTTTCTTCTTGGATAGCTTGCGAGCTATATCCACTTTCTCTTCTCATCTCTTTGACTTCTTCTCGGGCTTCTTATCTATTTCTTCTCTCCGCAAGTGTCCACCCCATTTATATGATTCTTCTCAAACTTTTAAAATATATTTAGTCGTATTTGAAGGTTATTGTTCTGTCGTGCTTAAATTGTGTGTTGTTATTGTTCCTTTTAATTTTTATGTTCTAAAATTGTGTTTGTCGTATAAGTTTGTGTTTGTTAAAGTTGTTTTGAAAGGAAGGCGTCAATTTTATATGCAATCTTATTTTTCCTCAAAATTTTGGTTGTATCAATTTGGTGTCAGAATTTAGGTTTTGGTGTCTTCCTTTTTATTTCAGAAAAATTATAAACCCTCATCGTCAAACGGAGGATCCAAAGCAAGAAGAAGTTGAATCTAAAGTCAGAGAAAGTCAACCAAGTTATCTTGAAGAAATCATTCCAAAGAATAGATGGATACTGCCACAAGGAAGTTCTACAGATTCAATCTAGAATGAACTATATAAAATCCAGTAGAAAATGAATTTGGTTACAGAAAAATATGAAAAGAGAAAGCAACTTCTTCAAGACCAGTTTAAGCAAGAAAAAGAAATGATCCAGAAAAGTATGCGGCTTTGATTTTAGAATTGGATAAGACTTCTTCGGCACGTCATGAAAGTTCTAATGTCATTTCATCAGGAGATGAGATCTCTCAACCGGAGGAGAATTGATGTAAGCAAGCCATACCCCCCTTCCCCTTGCTTTGGGTTGTTCGGTTCCTCTGCTTGCTGGGCTATTCGGTTCCTCTTGCTGGGTTGTTCAGTTCCTGCTTTCCCGGTTCCCCTTGCTGCCATTCGGGTTCATCTCCCCTTTGGCCTCTTCGTTTCCTCTGCCTGTTCTGCTCTTTCCCCTTGGCGCTGTCCGTTCATTGGCCGTGTCCCGCGTGCCTCTTCGTGTGCTGCTCCAGCCAGTGGACTTTTGGTCTTTTTGCCTCCCCTTTTTCTATTGGCTTGTATGGGCGGCTGTTTGGCTGTTTAGTTCCCTTTCTTCACCTATATATTATGGCTGTTTGTGGCTGTTTTATGAATGATTAGGGATGATTTTTGGAGCTAAAAACCTGAGGGTTTCTTCTTGGATAGCTTGCGAGCTATATCCACTTTCTATTCTCCTCTATTTGACTTCGTCTCGGACTTCTTATCTATTTCTTCTCTCCGCAAGTGTCCTCCGCATTTGTATCTTTCTTCTCAAACTTTTAAAATATATTTAGTCGTATTTTAAGGTTGTTGTTGTGTCGTGCTTAAATTGTGTGTTGTTGTTGTTCCTTTTAATTTTTATGTTCTAAAATTGTGTTTGTCATATAAGTTTGTGTTTGTTAAAGTTGTTTTAAAAGGAAGACGTCAATTTTATATGCAATCTTATTTTTCTTCAAAATTTTGATTGCATCAGCTGGACTGCGATATCTGTATCAATATTGGCGAAATTGGGTTCTCCGAGGAAGTGAGGATCTTGTGTGTTTCTAATACTCATTAAATTAAGGCTGCATGTTTGGAATATATTTAGCTAGAGTTGTAGTTTGTAGGCTCGATTCAACTGTTACCCTTGGAATTTAAAAGGAATTTAAGCCACATTTGATAACCATAGCCTTAAGATTGCATCTAAAGGGCACTTTTGCTAATTTCATTCAAAATAAACTAACACGTCCTTTTGCTTTTCTGAAAGGAAGATGAACCCATATTGGTATCTAAGAGCATGTTGCTTTTCCTTTTCTTTATCTTGCCAGTACAAGCTAATGCTACTTTCTTCCTTACCAGTCACCTCTTCTCTTTCCAACTTTTTATTTTCCTCCTTTTCATTTCATCTTCTAGCTGTTTTTTCTTGCTAGCTCAAGAAACTAGCCCATGTTTCCTTGCCAGTGACCACTTTCCTGTGGAGTTATTCAGTCATCTTTATTGGCTGTAAACTGTCATACCACATTCAACTAGATCTGGCATAAAGCCAGCACTACCCTACTTTGCAATGGTGACACAATACATATAATTATGATCTACTAATACTTAGCTTGTTAATCTACACGCTCCCAATAGCATTAAAAAACAAAGCTTCAGTTTGAACCCATACTAGAGACAGGTCGTATCCTTAATCTAATAACAAGCATAATGAATGAGACGTGGATCTTTTCTTAAATTTAGTAAGTTGTTCCAGAACTTGAAAGAAATAAGTGAACAAGACGTCTATTGAAGGTGCAGTATGATAAATTTCTGAAATAAATAAATGAATATATTGACTGAAATAGCAATGATACAATGGGTTCTAATGACATTAAATGGATCAATAAATGAATCAAATACAAATGAGCATTATATCATATAAGATTATCATTCGACTTAAGAATCACGGATCTACTATGAATGCTCAACCAAAGCCAAGAAATGTGAACCCATCAGTTCTATAGGGTATATGTCATAAATGTAATAGAAGTAGATCATATAGGAAGAAATATTTGAAAATGAATTATAAGAATATTAATAGTTAATCCTAGTTTTGAATAGTGACCCTTAAAATTACATAATTCGAGGTGCCCCTTAGACCAAGGTGCACATAAATGACTTTGAGATATATGCCAAATGTGGAATAGTTGAGTCGTACACTTCAATTGAGTGATGCATGCCTCTACATTTTTTGATGAGAAGTCACAAATTGATGATCTTAGACTCTATTAATTTATAAGCCCAAAGTTTCAAATTAATTTATAAGCCCAAAGTTTCAAATTAATTTATAAGCCTCAAAGTTTAAATATAAACTTATTTCATTTAAAAAAACCTAAAATAGTAAAATTCAGAGCCTCAAGACTGCAAGGAGCCGCACACCTGCATGCTGCAACAAGTCTAGACAAAAGGCTATGCCGACCTTGTTGTGCTGCCACTACTTCCTAGCTTCCATGGCGGCTGCTGCTGCCACAAAATTGCTTCTTTTGATGTACACTTTTGCCATGATCGTTGTTATGCTACCAACCCTCGCCAGAGCCCTTTTCCTTTATCATATTCTCTACCCTCATTTTTTTTTTTATTTATTAATTATATTTTCGCTGAGCTTCTCCATTTTATATTCTCTATTTTGAATAAGGTTTTCAGTTTAGGATTATTTTTAAATGGGTTGGAGGTTCTGAAAAGAGTTCAATTTGAAAATAGAAAATATCCGACATGGAAGGATGGTGTTCAAATGCAAATTTTGGCAGTGAGAAGACATACATTTACTTGAAATGTCTATTATGATGTATTTAAAGGAAATGTTACAAGAATGAAAAAAACATCTTTTTTGTTCTCATAAGAATATAGCACCATGTATTAAAATACTCGAAGAAGTGAAAGAAGAGTTTTATATTTTAATGGTTTAATTTTGAGGCTTATCTCTCAAAATATTTTTAAGCTTACGTCTTGCCTCATAAAAGAAAATGTCTCATTACCTTATTGCATAATTTCAATCTTTGGTCATTATTATTCATTTAAAGTTGTATTCACATTTGTTAATGAGAACTAATACACCATTGCTCAATGGTTCCATGGAGCCATAACACATAGCACATGATGTAGTGCTTGCTATTCTAAACATAGCATAAAACCTTCTAAGTTATGAATAAATTATTAATAATTTAATAATCTGAGGGAGAAAATATTATAATACAAAAGCACTATCAATGTCATATAAGAATACTTTAATACTCATAAACATTTATGAAAGAAACTAGATTGAAAAAAAGTTAATTATCATGATAATGAAAAAACTATATTTTTAAATAAAAGCAACCATTGTATACTTTTAAACATTGATTCTTAGGCCCAATTTCTTAGCAATTACAATTTTGGAACATTAAATTCTTTTTTTTTTGCAATTCTCATGTTTTTCTAAAAAAAGAACTCTTCATCTTTTGAATTATCATCATTATCAAAAGCCGAAATAGTCTTGTCTCTTTTATCAATATCATCATTATCCCTTAAATCATAATCTTCATCGCTTCATCATCTTATATTCATCTTCAAATGTGGTAAGGCTCGATGAAAAACATCACTAGTTTTTGCACTAGTGATATATGTATGTATACCATTGACTATTTGTTCGGGTTTAGGGATTCATGTAGCTGAC